ACTACTGCTTAAAATATTCACAATGTCCCTAGAAACTCAAACTTACCCTGATATATGGAAAACAACATTTGTTATCCCTAAGCACAAATCTGGCTCGAGAACAGAAGTCAGCAATTACAGGCCGATCAATATCACATCTATCGCATCTAGAATTATGGAGAGACTAGTTAAAGATAACCTAATCAATCATATGCTTGGCTGCAACATTATAAGTCCGAATCAACATGGATTCCTAAAATCCAGATCTTGTTTTACATGCCACCTAGACTTCTTTAATTTTGTGACCAGCAGTCGTGACAGACGGCAACTAGTACTTGTCATCTACTTTGACATTTCTAAGGCATTTGACCGTGTCGACCATTTACTACTAATACATAAGCTGAAATTCTTAGGAATACGTGACCCACTATTAGGATGGCTTAAATCATTCCTTAACAACAGGTCCCAAATAGTTAAGCTCGGATCTATAACTTCGAAACCTAGCCCAATCACCTCTGGTGTAGTACAAGGTAGTGTCATTGGGCCCTTCCTATTTACGCTATATATCAATGACATATGCGCTTGCCTCTCACATGGGAAACCAGTCATCTTTGCAGATGATCTAAAAGTAGCTTATACATTCCAATCTGATGACCTAGGGTGCTTTGAGAACGTTGTGCAAAAAGAATTAGATAAAGTGACTGCTTGGTCGTCTTTATGGAATCTACAGTTTAACCTGAACAAATGTGGCTGGATCTGCTTTGGCGCACCCTCAATTGACTTGAAATTGACGCTTCAATCTGCTAACCTAACCAGACTACGAAGTGTCGTTGACTTAGGCCTGAGGTATTCTAGTGACCTGACATTCTCTGAGCGAGTGGCATCACAGACTCGAAAGTCGAGGATGTTCTTAGGATGCATACTTAGGAACTTTCACGACAATGAAGCAAAGCTAATTCTGTATAAAACACATGTAAGACCACTACTAGAGTACTGTCCATTTATTATAAGCAGCACTCGCACACGTGACAAGCTAAGGATGGAAAGTATCAGACGATATTTTACCTCCAAACTACTTGGCTACGATTGTACGAAAGACTACATCTCACGCTGAAAGATTCTAAATCTTGACCCACTTTGGACAAGACGACTTATTATAAACCTAATATTCTTCTTTAAGGTCCCTCACAAAATATCATTCTCAGACAGTAAGGACATACAATTCGCACAAGAAGGCTCTTACGATCTGCGTAACCAAACTTGTACAGTGACAGTGAAAGCCTTTAAGTCAACACTCCGTAAAAACTTCTTCACAGTCATAAATTCTAAAATATGGAATAGCCTGTCCCTAGATGTCAGGACTTGCTCTTCAGTTATAAGTTTCGAACGCTCTCTGTACAGACTGTTTCACTCTACTGATTATATAAATAAACTATTTATTCCTAGAACGAATCAACTATTAGTCTACTACAGTACCTAAGCAACGCGCTTAAATACCTTTACTACTCTAAAAACTATAAATAAACTAGTCGCATAGATGCATAAAAAGACTTAGTAGAAATAAATATTTGTTCACTAAATTACAATGTACAACGAGTATAAACATATATGTCCCACTCCACATATTTTTTCTCTGCCCTCTGGTACTTTTCTGCTCGCCTCTTCGGTTGTATTTGCCTTGTAGTAGAAGTTGCACTGATCTACATCCAGACTGAAGCTGAGAAACAACTGAAATCACTTACTCATATATCATCCCTCAAGGTTTGGCTAGTAATAACTCAGCATCCTCGGAATATCCACTGTCACCATAACAAGACGCTGTACAGCATTCTATACAAGCACTGTCAATGATCTAAAATGGCTTACATATAGCTTTCTACGTGTTAATCAACTTACTCGTATGGAACAACCATGCAGTGACAAATGGCGGTCTTGGCTGACGTGGGTGCAGTAAAACGAATCTGCCTGACAATAACCAATATTAATCTGCATTCAGTAGAATTCACATCTGGTGTTACTTGCAATAAAAATGATGTCAAAATCATACAAATAAATCACTCATTTCAAATTAATACCTAATTTGAACATAAAACAAGAACAAGATACGATGCCGCACACAACAAAGTTATATGGAGGAATTGACTTCAAGCTTTATTTTTTTCCAAATATTTGTAATTTATCCAACACATACTTGGGATTTTTTGTTAATGCGAAGACAATATTTCTATATTTGTTAATGTGCTCCATTGAACGACTAGCTATCAGATTGTACTCACTAACTTATATCAGAGAGGACAGCAACGATGTAATTTCACTATAAATCAAATTCATGTAATGTAAATAATACTTATCCATGCCTGTACAACTGGTGTGTCCTACATAGATAGGAATAAACATATATATGTCTGTGCCAATTAAAGCGGAATATGCCGAGATGCGGAGGCTTTTGTCCGACGCAGACTTGCCCTTGGCATGAGATGAGCTATCTGTGGATGAACGCTGGGAAGTGGTAAAAGAGATTATTCATACAGCAATCTCTGATACCGTCCCTTTAGTCACCACACAGTTCAGAAAGTGGTCACCATGGCAACGTGTTCTGCGAGCAAAGCAAAGGCTTGGTTTACGCGGTGATTGTCCGAGAGTTAAACCGACCACAACGCATGCCTGGAACTCAGGAACCGGTGCATTTTGAGAGTCAGAAGTGACAGGATGTCATTTCGGGCTTACTTTGCCGATAAATTCCTGGCGAACCTCAAAAACTTGTATCGATTCATGTCGGAAAGAAAACCAACCAACCTTGAGCCATGCGCCTAAGCAGGCGCAAAAGGTCAATATCTCACTAGTCTGGAGATGGTGGAAACATTCAGTTTAGCCTTCGCCAAACAGTTGAACAGCAGTGTGTGTATTACCGGTAGGGACCAAAATGATGGCATAACTGTTTCACAGGAGGAAGACCTAGTGGCTACTCTCCAAATATATCCGGCAGTAGTACTAGGGAAGCTACAGAGATTCACATCTGCAAAGTCCCCAGGTTGCGACGACATCAGGCCATCTGTTCTGAAACAGTGCTCCAAAGCTCTCTGTAAGCCCTTATGCGACTTGTTCCAACACAATAGATTCGAGAAAGCTGACAAGGGAGGGGAAAAGAGCCATCCTTTCTCTGATCTTCAGGGGTGGGGGTAGGCGAAATGCCACTAGTTATAGACCAGTAGCCCTACTCCCAGTGGTATCAAAAGTACTGGAAAGTATAATTGATGATCACAGCAGGGATTACCTCGACAGGACTAATAGACTCCATGAAGCCCAACATCGTTCCAGGAAATGCAGATCTTGTACAACAAATCTATAATCAGCTTGGTACGATTGTACGTCATACTGGGATATAAATGTTCCAGTCCACGTGGTCTTCCTAGACTTTCAGAAGGCATTTGACACAGTTCACCATGACCTTCCCCTACACAAAATAAGTTAGGCAGGTACAGGTAAGCCGCTTCTCTCATGGTTGAAGCACTACCTAGCTGAAAGGAGATTTTGCGCTTAGGTCAATCGAGTCCGATCATCTTGGCACAGCTCATCATCAGGAGTGTCGCAGGGTTCCATCCTAGGACCACTGGTGTTTTTGATTTTTATCAATGACTTACCATGACGTCTAAGCTGCCCGACTCTTCTATACGCTGATGACGTAAAGATATGGAGGGCAATAAAGTGTCCGGAAGACTCAGATAGGCTGCAGGCAGATCTAAAGCTTCTGGAAGACTGGGCGGTAGCCAGTGGCATGAACCTGAAAAAGTGCAAAGTAGTGAAGTTACGCACCTGTAGACTGCATAATGCAAGTTACACCCTGTGCAACGAAAGCTTGTCCTGCGAAACGTCGGAGCGTGACTTAGGTCTAGTTCTAACGGAGAAAATGGACACAAGCGTAAATTACACGGGGGATGTAGCGAGGGCATATGCGGTCATAAACTTTACACATAGACAATTAGGTGCACTCACTCCCGAGCTCTTTCTAAGGTTGTACAAAACATACGTCAGACCACACCTTGAAGTGCATAATATCACTGCAACCCCACTGCTTAGAAGAGACGTCAACCTCTTGGAAAGAGTCCAGAGACGGGCGACAAAAGAAGTGGTTGGTCTCCGAAATAAACCATATGATGAAAGGCTAAAGAAATTGTGCCTATTCACACTTAGCTGCCGTGGGCTTAGGGGGGATTTGATTACTACCTAAAAAATAACAAATGCCCAGAACCACCCAAAAAAGGGTGTTTTGCCATTGAGTAGGTGTTGGCTTCCTCGTGGAAATCCTAGAAAGATAGCTCACCAGAGGGCAAGGCCCCGGGTGCGCTCCCACTTCTTTTCACTACGGGTTTGCCATCCCTGGAATTCCTTACCGGCAGATGTAGCTATGGCAGCGTCTGTGGACACCTTTAAGCGATGTCTGGACAGTCATGAAGCGACTAAAGGACTGCGTCCAAATGGCCTCTCTCCTTAAAATTCCCTACACCATTCAAGGGTGTACAACTAAATTCGTCGTTTTACTTCTTTGCATTCTCTCCCGTCTTACTCTCCTGACAACTCTAACAACTGCACTTATTATTATTGCTATTTCTGATATTATATATATCAACTTCGAATTTAATTAGCTGTCTGTTTTTACGTTTTCTTTATTTCTTTTTCCGTCTTTTAGTTTAAATAACCTACACTAATTATATCTATTATTATCGTCTCCTTTCTTTTGACGACGATACCGGACTAACTGGTGAAAGGATAAACTCCATTTACAGTAGCAACAAAGCCTTAACACACCGCATACTACAAACAGCATATAATTAATCCCAGCACTTCTCCTAACTAACAATCAAAAAGCGAGCACAAAGAAATCATACTGGTTTATTCTAGCTCGTATAAACGATATTGGAGTGGATGTCACGTCAAGTTTTAAGCTCAAAACGGAAACTGTTTTCAGAGGTTAACCTTGGGTTTCCTATTATAAAGGCCATATCAACACTCGCCAAGTAGAAATGCAAGCATTCAAAGGGGAATCCCACTATGTGAGTAATACAATAGAAGGGAAACTGAGGACTACGAGAATAATTCCCGACTGGGACGACTGCGAAATCCCTTCATCAGGTGTTTTTAAAACTACGCTAAACATCAAATTAAAATACAATGGATGAAAAATTAATAAAATATGCAGTTCGGTACAAATTGAAAGTTGCCATGGAAAGGCGGGTTTTCACGTGACATTGTTACGTACTCGACCTTGTTCGTCTATAATCGGGCATATATTGGGTTCGTTCTTTTTTAACCGTAGTCGCTTTCCTGTGTTGTGTCAAACAGCAACATGATTGTGTGCTCATTTGCCCGTCCGTCTAACACCACTCTTGGGCTCTTTTTTAGATCGTCGTTTTGGTCCCCAAAAGTTGTACAACCTCCGGTCCCCTTATCCCACGAACGGAAATTTACTTGCAGCAATCAGGCCTTAAAAAACATGTCTGTAATTCAACCCAATGACTCTATCAGAAAAACAGCTCATGTTAAGTCAAGTGAAGAATACAGCTTGATGTGCAACAGAGCCCTAAGCAATCCTAAAGAATTTTGGTTGGAATATGCCATGAAGTTTCATTGGCAAAAACCACCTACCTTCGATAAATGTCTGAGTTACAATTTCGACTACCGGAAAGGGCCAGTTTTTGTCAAGTGGTTCGAAGATGGAAAAACAAATATATGTTACAATGCTTTGGATCTACAGGTTGAAAAAGGCCTCGGTGATAAGATTGCAATTCTGTGGGAAGGTAATGACCCGAATGATACATGTCGTCTTACCTACTCTGAGATGCTGTCTAAGGTAATTATATTAGTAATTGTATTAAACTTACGTGGTTATCACAATATCACTTCACCGAATTATGCAAACTATTTGTTTATGTTTATGTCTTATTAATGACTTATGTCTAAAACTTAATATTAAGTCAATATGTCTGTAAAGATTGTTTTTTATCCTTGAAGACGCATCTGAAGATCTTACCTCACTAGCTAAGTAGTTCCTAATGACTTACCACCTTATGAAAATCTGAGTTGCTTACATAATTTAATCCTTTTATGACGACCTGTCAGATAATTAGCCTTAAATGTAATGAGGTGCAACAAATTGACATCGAAACTAATATGGGAAGTAGATCTAACCACAATTCTCCCCGTACTAATTTTGGGAGGAGAGGGAGAGCGCGGGCTGTGACTGCTATTCACAAGGGAGCATGAGTTATTTTACCAAAATAAAACACTCATGGAAACTTTCTACAATGTCTAGTACTTTAAGAGTTAGCAGTTGTCTGTACGTAATATTTCAAAGGTTTCACTTTGGAAGTTTATCTGAAATATGTTAGTGAATGGCTGCATCATATTTTTCATAGTAAGAAAGTCTGTTACATTTTTCGTGGTACTTTCAGGCCGCATACGGGCGCTCCCCGTCGCCCATCTGTAACATCTTCCACTTGTAGTGCTAAAATAGATCTAATCAGTCCTCATACTGTTGAGTTACGCATTGTTTAAGTTCACATGTCTTTTGTATTCATCATTGTTACATAAACTTGTAGGGTTAGTGAAACTGTCTTCATTAATTGATTACGAAGCTTCGTCCTGTTTGTCTCAGAATCTGTGATATTATTTTGTGAAAAAAGTCACAACCGATTGAGTATTTTGTGCTATCGAATTTTTTGTTTTCCAATGAAGTGTTTATTTTTTATATTAGTAATTCAAGAAAAAAAGGACTCACCTTGTTTTCCGTTACGAGGCAATTAAAGCATTTTAATTGAATATATGTTTTTAGATAAGTGCACTGTGAACGTTTGTGTATGCTCTTTTTCTCTTACCACTGTTTTTGTCCAGCTGTTCGACTTTTTCCAGGTTTTTGGGAAATAAATTAGGTAAGGTTATGGGATGTAATTTTGCTCTGCATCGTAAGCTGTAAGTTTATGATACAATCTACATATTTGAACTTAATAAGGTCTATTCTAATTTTAATTTATTAAGTATCATTAGTTTCGCCTTGTATATCTCCTATTTATGTAACGCATTAATCTAAATCATATGTAATTCATTTAGAAATAACTGTTGCTGGTGTCTGCTTAAGTTTGACGTTTTGTTATTCGGATGAGGTTGTTTTGATGATTTCGTTTGAAAGTCAGCGAATTGTGGTTGGTATTAGCAAAAAACCTTTTTATCTTGTGATTGCATAGTGAATAAAGCAGTTTTACTCAGGATATCCAAAAGTAATTTTTACAGTCCTTTATTTAACTGCATAATTGTTTTTTGTTCCTGATCACTCATATAGGTTAAACGAATTGCAAAAATGCTCGAAAACCTGGGTGTTCGAAAGGGTGACAGCGTTGCCATTTATATGCCCATGGTCCCAGAACTACTAATGACCATGTTTGCATGCACTCGTCTTGGTGCTGTACATTCAGTTGTATTCGGTGGATTCTCTGCTTCTGCGCTGGCTGATCGAATCATGGATGCCGGGTAAATACCTTTTTATAATTTCTGTTTGATCATGTGTGTCTTGCGTACATATGTGGTTGGTATTTTGATTCTTCCCATCATTACGGGATTACAGAATTCAGTTTAATACTCGTCTAGTCATACAAGATGTTTACACATGTTGGAGAAATTTTAAGAATGCCCGAAAACCTTGGCTTTTGATGGGGGAATCGTAAGTAGCGGTTTGTAAATTCCAAGTTATTTGACAAGCTAAGATAGAATTGAAAGGCTTATTACTTATTTCCTTCTTACTTATTTCATGATACAGTATCATAATAAATTAATAAAGCGATTCGGAAGAATATAACTTTCCTATTCAATAGAACCCTGTTAAGTAAGAAAACTGACTGTTGTGTATGGAGTTATGCATTTGATCCCCAACTTTTGGTTTAAGGGTACAAACCCTGCCAAATGACCTGAATATCACTCACACATGTTATTTCATATGATTGATTCAATGTAGTTGACTTATTTATCGGTCTTGCATCTCCAAATGTAATCCTGATGATATATGTATATATCCTTGTATGTCGAGTATTCATCTGAATAGTTCCACCGAAAATTGATGAATTACTAAATTCTATTTTACTAATCTTTGTTGCTTGTTTTAAATTCGTATCGGGAAATGTTTCCAAAACGTACCGAGGTTTGTATCAGGTAGTAGTATGGCATTTATACGATAAATTTTATTAGTCACTTGATGCATGAATGTGTGCGTGGTTATTTAGTTGCATGTATGCATAATTAAAATACAAAAGCAACCAAAGAGACCTCATCACTCAGTATGATGACCTTTCTGTCCACTGCAGGTTTAGATATCAACCGAAACAGTTCATTCAAGAATTGTGCCTAGAAGTTAGTATTTCATTTAATGTAGTAATAAAAGATGTAGAGTACCAGTGAATATATGCGATTGGATATGAAATAAGTGACTGATCAGTCTTCGTTGTTTTGCCTAATATTACGATGTGGTTCTGTGACTTATTTCATTGAGAATACAACTTTTAACCAATAGGTCACGAGTTTAAATCCCTTACATTTATCGACGCTTAGGAAGCTGTGTAGTGCTTTGACAAACATGTGGTTATCCGGATGTATTGAGTGAGGCCGAATATCATAACAACTGTTTTACACGAATTATTATCCGTGGTGGACATGAATATAACTATCTAAATTCAATAGTTGAAAGTGTGTGAACTCTAAATATTCCTGTGAAATTTATTTCTTGGTTACAAAACTTTAACTCTGCTACGAATATAAATGTGTCACACGTGAAGGTAATTTCTGTCACAAACAGTTGGTTTTCAGTGAAAAGACTAAGTAAATCTACTAATGGCATCTTTATTTATCTACTTTATACTTGTTCAAAGAGTATGTTAATTGCTGATAACCTTGTTGAACTGAAAAAAACTACCTTGATCATTTTGGTATTAGTCTGCAGACAAGAATTCCTCATGTATTCCTACGAAAAGGGCAATTAATTTTTCCGATTTGGTTGTAATTTGCAGTAAAATGTACTTATGGCTAGGTAATTACTTCTTTAAAACGAATTAAATGATTCCAACTAATTATTACCGTTCTACATCTTCAGAGTGCGATATAGTGCTGGTTTACCGACATCGCACCAAAAAAGTCCACATGATGTACACGTAAATCATCAGGTTATTAGTCCGTTATCAACTTCGTTAAGAACTTTTGCTGAAGTCTAAGACTGCATATCAAGTGAGAGACTGATTTGATTTGAGTGCTGGTTAGTGGTCTATGGTTATAATTATGGAGTGTCCTTGCTTCATTGAAGTGAACCATGACTTTAGGTCAAATCCAAGGTGTTGCCCAATTAATCTGTCTAATACACAGATTTCTCAGGATCGGAGTTAACATTAGTCATATTATGGTATAGTTTGAAAATGTAATAGAGCTTTTCAATATTTTTTTATGTAACTGTTTCTCTTTTCTTGGTGGCTGTGTTCTGCTGCATTTCTCCCTCTCCCTCTCTCTTTTCTTTTAATAGCTTCAAGATTATTTTCTAGTTTATTTGTTAGCGCAAATGTCCTGAACTTGTGTTCGAATAAATAACCGTAAATTATTCGATTCTTTATTCCATAGATGTTTTAAAAAAATCTCATATTATATGGTTAGGTCTTAAATTGACCAGTTTCATTCAATTTTTCCCTTTAATTAGGTGCAAAATTCTAATCACTGCTGATGGGACGTGGAGAGGGTCAAAGCTTATTGAGCTCAAAGCGATTGCATCATCTGCAATGAGTATATGCCAAGAAAAAGGTTATTCTGTCCAACGATGCGTAGTATTTCAACATGTTACTGCTGTTCCACCCAAAGTTAAAAATGGCATAAATAACTGTGAGAGTAAAGAGGGTGTTCGACCGGCTTCAGGGTAAGTTTTTTTGGGGGGGAGGGGTATTTCTTTTTCAGGATTAACATTCAGTCTTGCCACACTTGTTACAACTAATTCAAGACGGTATGTAACTGTATGCTCTGTGCACCTATTATTCTTTCTCTACATATCTGGCTGTAGTCAGTCTATCTAATATCGTTTTTTTAACTTATCTTAATAATTTCATTTATTTAAATCTAAGCATTGTTTCTCACTGCAGTTCTTACATTTTTTAAAATGTGTAAAGTAATCATTTTTCTTTCGGTAGGACGTAACATTGTTTCTTGTCATATTTTTGCTAAACTACATAGCTTCATTGTGCGTCTGTTCTCGTTGTTTTGTATTGGTCGGAAGATAAATTGTATTTATGAAAGGATGAAGATGATTTGTAGTTCAGTTGGATGATTTTGATGTTGTTAAGTCTTCTCCAAGATTGCTGGTTTAATTGTGAAGCTTTCATTGTTCTCCTAAGCACACAACACCTTCAGCGTTGACTTCATTTTTAAGTTTCAAGTCAACTTGGCTAAGGGTTTAAATCGTCTGCACTTCATCTAGGTAGAATGACATATATTGCTGCTCTTTAAACCGTTTAAGCGTCTTAAGCTATGACTCACGCTTGATGATACTACCCAAGTAAGTAGAAACTGGTAGATTGAGGTTCAAACCAAGTGATCATTGTGATTCGATGTTGATTTTGCAGGTCATACATAGTCACTGATCTTTACTACGGCTGACCGCTTAACGTTTGCCTACTTAAATTGTTTCCTGCTTGAGTTTTAATGACTATTTGGCATTTGTGCTTGAGTGGTAAATTTGTCTGATTGGTGCTAAAATTGATAAACGTGAGTGCATGCTCATTATATTCACAAAAATTAGTGCAATTAATAAAATATAAATCATAGAATGCTGACTTCAGTTAGAGAACCATCGAAAATCAGTGAGTGCTAGACAGCTGTTTCTTCCTTGTTTGGAACTCTTCAACAGTATGCGCCTGTGATCCCACCAGCGATCGAATCCAGAAGCGACTGTCAGCCAATCTGTATTTATAATCAGTGCTCCGTGTTTAATTGCTCAAATAAATTTTCTGGCACTAACTTATGCACAGAAGTTCTGATTATTAGGTATTGCTAATATGATTTAAGTTGGTAATATCAAAGTATCCGGTATTCGTAGACTCGGAGTTGGAACATTTAAGCATCTATAACTATATCATTGAAAGAAAAGTGGTAACTTTTGTTCGGTGAGTTTCTGGAGTCGATCAAGTACTGCAGTCTATGTATCATATGCTGGGCATTTCATTGCTTTGTTCTCACTATTAACTTACTATAGTGATTTCCTGTGTTTACCCATCAAGCGCAAAATGTTTCAGTTGACATTTAAGTAGTGTTTATTAATACTTAATAAAAATGTACTGGAATATTGTCATGAGTGGCTTGATTAAATAGGATTGAACTTCTTATAGAGGCCGTTACATGATTGACAATTGCTTTTTTTTAAATCTAGAAGTCGAGTTTATATTGCACTCTGATGAAAAAGGTTTAACAAACAACTAAATTTCTGGTCTTTACTTTTCTATTTTTCCTCTCCAAATATCTTGTCTGTTTTTGAAGGCTTTTTATCATCATATGCTAAGTGTTGAAATTATTCCATATTCTTTTGATGTTTCTATCGGTAAACGTACACTAGTTCACTTGCCTGGCATTGAAGTAAGTTAACATGTAGTTTTAGTACATGTTATCTGTCAGAGCAGTAGATATTTAGTAGTAATATATTTTAAAATCTAAATTTTGTGTGTTTGTGTTTGTGTGCGTATATACAGTAAAGCAAACCTGTTGCATGCATGGGTGTAGCAACTGTAACAGACTGTGAATCACTGTTTTAACTGTAGGCATAGAAATTGTCAGCACATCATCTAGATGCAGGCCAGGCGTAGTATTTGATGCATTCATGCTACATCTTCAACTAAAACTTGACAATTTCTTTTTGCCATTGATTTCAATCTGGAAGTATATCTGGCAACGTTGTATATTCTGCTGGATGCCACTCAGAAAGTCGTAATACTTCTCACTGAAACTTATCCAAGGTAACTAACTATCTTTTTGCAGCTTGTTGTTAAGTCATTTCCAGGGCTGGCGAAAAGTGAATCGTATGCAAGTCACTTGGATGACATTCATAGCACACATGTTTAAGCCAGCTTCTCAAGATGACATCACTTATTTTTAAAACGCATTCCTCACTTCAGAATCATTTATGGTGCAACACCATAAAGTGCAAGTAAATGTAGATGAGCGATATGATCAAACAGAAACAGAGTGGATTCTTTATTTTGCATTCATTTTGTCTTAATCTTTTACAATCTCTTACATTATTATTATTATTATTATTATTATTATTATTATTATTATTATACTCTTTCCGCCGTGGTTGATTACACCCATTTACATGCTGATGTAGAATTTTGTAGCTTGAATTTTAGTGTATATTTATGCAATGTGTTTATTTCTGCACGGAAGTTTTGATAAGCTGACATCTGTAAAGAAGTTGCTTTAACTTTCGCTTTACAATGGTATATATAACAATCACTTAATAATTTTATTTAGTTTGTGAATATCTGTCACTGCTCTCACAACAACATATCCTACTGACATTACTGTGATTTTTTATCTAATTTTTTTAAAATATTTTTAATTTATAATTATAATTTTAACAGGTTAAATGTTCCAATGGAAGCTGGTCGTGATGTTTGGTGGCACCAGTTGATCAGTAACATACCTGAAAATGTTGATTGTCCTGTTGAATGGGTCAATGCAGAGGATCCATTATTCATACTTTATACAAGTGGTAGTACAGGACGACCAAAAGGTGTTGTACATACCACAGGTGGCTATATGGTTTATGCAGCTACAACATTCTTTTATTCATTTGACTATCATGATGATGATATTTACTGGTGTACTGCTGACGCTGGGTGGATAACGGGTGAGTTGCACTAAATTTATCCCTCTGGGTTGATTGTTTTAATTTTTTTTTTGTCTACAGTGTAGACCTTTGACACAGTATGTTAATCTGAAACAGGTAAGTTTCGATTCGATGAGTATTGTTGTTTTGCAGAACTAATTTCTTTTCTTATCAAACCGATACTACTTGCTAAAAGAAAAAAAGTGATGTTTTCATGGGCGTGTTCACTAAACCTGAAGTCACAGAATTCTCAGCACTCTACTAATATTTTGCAATCATTGCTCTTTAACATCCAGGGGGTCTTGGGTTAGACAACCTAAATCTAACCAAATGACCTAGACCAATAGTCAGAGATTTTGGAGATATTGTTCCGATGTTTTTGACCCAACCACCTGTAGGCTTTTTCTAACCTCCTCTTACTCCAGTTGACAGTAATCTTCGAAAATGGCAGTCCTTGTATGTGTTGGGGCTTAAAAGGTACAGCCAAAGAGCCTTTCATTCTTATTCGACTCCCGTTATCTAACATTAAAATCATCCTGTAAGATGATTACACCTGAATGTCTGACTTTTTGCTCATCCTTTATGTTGAGCTACAGTTGATGAGTGCGCAACTAGAGACTGCAGAGAAAACATTGATATTGATTACAATTCCTCTTAGTGTAACGACAGAAGACAAGGGCCAGGCAAAAGATCGTCTATTGAGAAAATCAACAGATACTTATAGATTTTTATGTATATTATTATTCGTTATTGTTAGCAGAGAGGCAACGTCTTCTGATTGGTTGTTTCCCTGCTGAAGGTTATTCTGTCATCTCTTTGTTGCTGTTTCTTAGATAGTCCGTTGATATATCTGCTAATCGTATCCGCCTACGCTAAGCCTGCTGTGATTGGTTGTTGAGTTAGTCGTTGTTCTTGTTTCTTCTCATGACCGGGATTAGGGACGTAAACATTGACATGAATTGTTGTCTACCAATTTCGCAAGCAGACAGCTCTCATCACACTAGTTGTGATAGTACTGTTTGACTTCAAACGTACTTGAGGGATGTCAATCAGAAGCTAATCAATCTTTGTACCTCCTATCCCAGGAATAGATGCTATATATATATATATATATATATATATATATATATAGTCTGTGGAGACAGTTGAAGAGTTCTTCTTACCTGTTAGCAAGTCAATTTCTAAAATGTCGAGATTAAACGAGATCACTGCCATTAAAATATCTAAAATCAAGTGGTAGTGGTGACATTGAACGTTCCTGGTCCTACACATTTCTTGTTAATACTTCAGACAACAACTCCTTATAAGCTTTAAAACGGCTTTATGGGTTGGAGCAGAGTGCTTTGGCTACGACGTACTTTCTTTTTATTTCACTGACAGTTAGACAACACCTGTCAACCGATATAAGCATATCAATAAAGGTTGAAGTAGTTTTTCTTGGTTTGAGTTACGTATTCGTTAACTTCACCAAACCGAAAGTCTGATCAACATATGTACATATATGTATCCGATCGCCTGCATATGTTCTTCATACTTCTTATACGTGTTTCATCCTTGTCTAAGACATTTTGAGTGATGATAATATTCGACTGTTGGCGAAGTTTAACAGCGTGCATAGTGAAGTATATGGTGAGAAATGTTGTGTTTATCATTTTGAAATGATTTGTAATGAAGTTAGCTAAACTGCACGTCATACATTTGTCAAAAATAAGTAGATATCTGAATATCTGCAATTTACTTATTACAATTCTTTCAGGACATTCATATGTTGTGTATGGACCTTTGTTAAATGGTGCAACAACTGTAGTATTTGAAGGCATTCCAACATGGCCTGATCCAGGCCGGTGTTGGGCTATAGTAGATCGTTACCAAGTCACGAAATTCTATACAGCTCCAACAGCAATTCGTACTCTTATAAAAGCTGGTGATCAATACGTGAAAGCTCATAGTCGTACATCTTTGAAGGTGAGTTGCTACGTTAAATTTCTATCTTATTCTGGGTTCTGCTAGTGAATACTGCTTGTGTTCAGATAAAATTGATAGTCAGCTTTGGTTCAAGTAACTTTGTATTATTACGCTATCTTAAAAAAAGGTTTAGTAGAAATGTGATTATTTATCATTGAAGCTAGTAGATTTCAAGTTCCAGCATTCACAAACTACCGCGTTAATTGGTTGTAGTATTTTATATTATTTTTATCATGCTGTAAATATCCCTTTACATTCGATTTACAAATTCCAACAATCTGTTGACGCATAAAAGATCCTAAGTTCTCACTCCAAAAGCCTAAAGTATAATTACTTGCAGTTAATCTGTAGTCATTTCATGAAGCGTATTAGATATATATGAGGACAGACCTACCATTCGAGTTTGTGACGTAATCATGACCTGACATTTTGTCCTTTGGTGTTAGATTTTAAAAGTCAGTCGTCAAAAGACCCTGAAACCCCATGACTTTTTGTGTCTATTTTTACCTGTCTACAATCTCGAGGAGTCTTGTGTTGCATGTCAGACTTAAAGGTGCGTTCAAAAAATCAGTAGGTTTACCAGTAAACTATACAAAGATGAATTTCAGTCAATACACTAAAGAATACACAAAAGTACTGGTTACTTGCCAGTACTTAATTCGTGTACGTTTCATCCTTTGCTGTAAACTAGCAATACAATTAACATATATTTACTATTTATTTGTCTTGTGTAGATAAATATCTGATTATTTTAGACTGTCCTAATCACATCCTTGTCACCTTGGATATTTATAATAATTACAGTCATAGATTGTCATATGCACACTTTGAAGTGTTCGTTTTGTGAAGTTTTCCTCTTTAGAGTTTTATGACTTAAGTCCCCTGGAACTATTTATTCAGAGTCAAGATTTTAAGATTTTTCAACGGTGCCGAATTCTGACTGTTCAATAATTATGTTCTCTTACTAAATAGAATGTCTTGAAACAACCTTGAGTCAGTTAAATCACTACTGTGTTCTATAGAGCGTTTTATTAGGTCTTCACATCTACTTTCTTTAACCTTCAATGCATATATTTTTGTTTCTTAAATCTATGTCAGGTCCTTGGTACTGTAGGTGAACCAATCAATGTGTCTGCTTGGCTATGGTATTATAATGTTGTAGGTAATGGTCGATGTTCTATTGTGGATACCTTTTGGCAAACAGAAACTGGTGGGCATATGATTACTTCACTTCCTGGAGCAAATCCAATGAAACCAGGTTGTGCTACTAAACCTTTCTTCGGTGTTGATGCTCGTATACTATCAGAGGAAGGTGAAGATTTGACCAAACAAAAGGGTGTGGATGCTGAAGGCTTTTTAGTATTTGCTAAGCCTTGGCCTGGAATGATGCGAACAATAAACAAAAATCATGAACTCTTTGAAAGTACGTACTTTAAACGATTTCCTGGTTATTATGTTGCTGGTGATGGTGCTAGAAGAGACAAAGATGGGGACTTTTGGATTACAGGTTTGTACTTTTTTTATATTTTTGGTATCATTGCATAAATTTAGTTTTAAGCTAATAAATCTTATATTTAAACACTGTTCTACTTGTGTGGGATATTAGAAACATATTAGAAACTTTTATACAGAATTTGTTATATACGGTTCTGATGAAATATCACAACTTCACATTGAAAAATATTCAAATTAATTTCCATATTACATGGGTTTATTTGATCTCACATACCCTTTCCCAACCTATTGTGTGATTATTCTATTGAATTTTAGATTTTCCCGTCGATTGATTGAACCGAAGTGCTCGGTCTCAGGTTGATATGTCGGCTTCTTGTGCAGATGCTTCGACGATGTCTGGGCATTTAATTAGAATTTAATTGGTGGATGGTGACTAGCAGTGGAATCCAAGATGCACATTTTGTCCTATTTGGGACTCGTCAGCTGGATGCCCAGACATCGTCGAAGCGTCTGCACAAGAAGCTGACATGTCAACCTGAGACCGAGCACTTCGGTCCAATCAATCGACGAGAAAAATCTAAAATTCAATGGAATAATGAATATACCCCGTTGTACAAGAGGTGGCTCTCGTGGCCCAAGTGGTCTAGTGGATAACGCTTTGGTGTTTGAAACTATGGTCACTGGGTTCGAGCCCCGGTGAGAACATCATCACTCACTGGGGAATGTAGGTACATCCAGCTGGTGGACGAGTCCCAAATAGGACGAAATGCGCATCCTAAATTCCACTGCTAGTCACCATCCACCAATTATTTTGTGTGATTATAGGCAAGTGAATGCATTGCAATTGGCCGAGTTTGTTTTTCAAGATTACTTAGTGTCTCAGAGTCAGTCATCCTAGTTCTGGTTTTCTTCAATTCAGGATAATTTTACTTCCATTCTTCTTTTGTTTGATCCTTTGTCCAGTGACCTAATGAAAATGTGTCATATGGAGTAATTAGTCGGTCAGTAATGCTAGATTACGAACTGATAATCTTTTTCTATCATGTGATTATGGTTTGTTTGTTAGAAATTTCATTTGGTGAAGGCTTTTTATGGGTAGGATATGTATTACACTCATAGTATTTTTCATAAAATATTAACAGAGAATGATAGTCTTCATGAGATGACATCAGCTAACTTGGTGCAGTTGAATGTAAAGGTTTCAGTAGTCATTTTGCAAAGTTTGTATATAATAAATATATAATTGAATTCTGTGCTGCACTACTTTTTTTTATCATACATATACTAATGAAAGTATCCTTAACTGAACTTAACGACTTAGGAATCGACTTGTTACAGGGAACAGTCTTATGGACTTAGAATATGCAGATGACATAGTCCTGTTAGGGGAGGATGCTGACAAAATGCAGAGTCTTCTGAACACCTTGAGCAGCAATCTTCTTATGTTTGGCATGCGACTCGCCCCTGTAAAATGTAAGATGCTGCTACAGGACTGGACTACGTCAACTCCTAACTTAGTGATAGAGAGTGAAGTGATAGAACATGTTGACCACTTCATCTATTTGAGAAGTTGTATCAGCACCAACGGACTGATTGACGACGAAATCTCAGCACGGATCCAAAAAGCTCGGGCTGCTTTCGCTAACTTACGCCATCTCTGGCGTAGGCGTGACATCCGGCTATCAACCAAGGGACGTGTGTTCTGCTCAGCAGTTCGCTCCGTCCTTCTCTATGGCTCTGAAACATGGCCAATACGAGTTGAAGACATGAAAAGGTTGACTGTTTTTGATAATAGATGTCTACGATCTCTTTCTCACGTTAGGTGGTATAATAAGGTAAGTAATGTTGACGTTAGGCGTAGAGTGTTGGGCAAAGAGGGAAAATCAATCGAAGAGGCTATAAAGTTACATAGATTGAGATGGCTGGGTCACGTGCTGCGCATGCCTAACCATCGCCTCCCCCGACGGACGGGCATTACTAGCTGATATAGGTGCAGGTTGGAAAAGAGTAAGTGGTGGCCAAACAAAAACATGGCATCAATCAATCCATGAAATCCCTGACAGTTAAACTGAGTCAGGTAGGGAGATGCAGACTTCCGGGTTGGGGCCCGCCCTCGGGACTCTAAGAATCAATGGCTGGAGACAATAGGTGACATGGCTCAAAATCGTTGTCAATGGCGCAGATGTATTCAGTCTCTTTAACCTTCATACTCCTTTCTACCATTACTCATTCTGTTTCACTTTTATACTTGTCAAAACTCTATTGATTCTCTTCACTCATTTTCTTGTCTACCTTTGTGTGCTATTTGGAACGTGGCAACTGGAACTGCTGCACTTCGGTGCCAAGTTCTATGTTGAATCCAGACAAACAGACGGACTTTTTTCTGAACCCAAGTTATTCTGAGTCAAGTGTTTTAAATTCTGAAATACAGTCCAGTGGTCGAAATAATGGAGAAGATTTGTAGCTCAGGTGGATGATTTTGAATAAGTTGTGTTCCCTGAGCTAGTTGATTTAATTGCGAAGTTTCGTCGTCCTTTTAGACAGCATCGCTTCAGCGCAGTTTTTAGTATAAAATGAACTTATTTGAATTCTCCATAAATGATGTAATCGTATCTCCTGACTACCATCGTCTTGTTGTTTAATTTACGTCTCTATGTTAATTTTTATTGACTTGTAATTTGAACTTTCTTGTCATGTGATTTACTTTTTATTAGCTGGTGAATTCGGTCTACAGTAATGTGTTTGTTAATTGCTAATTCACTTGAGTAACAGGTTTCTAGAAATTCCCTGGCATTTTTGATGTTTCCTCCATGTGAAATTTCTACATTGTCCCAATCAAATTCGTGTCCATAATTATCCACATGCATTGATGCGAAAGAATATATATATCATGTCTTTTTACAGTTAATTTGTGTTCTTGGATTCTGATTCGAAGGGGACGCCCACTTTGACTGATGTAATGTTTATTGCAGTTCATATAGTTTATTTTGTAAATGGTATTAATTTTATCTTCTTTTTCTATTGGATCTTTCTGTCTGCACAATATTGTGTGCAGGGTGAATTTTTTTGTGGTCTTTGATGTTGGGTTGTTGTTGGCGTTATAACTCGAGGATATCCATTCTTTCTAAAGACGGTGAGCAGGTATTTTTCTTCCATACTCTTCAACACCGGAGTGCTACAGTATGTTGGAACTCTTTGAAACAATGTCCACACACAGTTTCTTTTGTGGGTAATTGGGTTATTACTACCATAGTTGAGTATTCGATCGGTGTCCTTTGATTTTCTATATGCTTGTGTTTCTAAATTTCCTGTGTTAGTTCTTTTGAATAAGACATCTAAAAATGGAATTTTGTTATCTAATTATTCTCTTGTAAATTCAATGTCTTCAAATATGTTGTTTATTAATTTATGGGTATATTCCAAATCATTTCTCTTAATTATTAAGAATGTACCATCAATGTAACGTACCGAGATTTTTGGTTCAATTATAGGTAGAGCTATTAATTCTAATCTTTGCATAACGGCTTCGGCTATTAATCCTGATATGGGCAATCCCATTGGTGTTCCTTCTATCTGTTCAGATATTTGATTATTGAATTGGAAGTATGTTGTAAGACATAATTCTATGAGTTCCATCCAAGTTGAACATTGCGCTGAAGACGTTGTCTAGGAGGGCAACGAAAGCGTCGCAATTAAATCAACCAACTCAGATAACACAACTAATTCAAAATCCAGCTGTCACCTTTATTTTTGCGTGATAACTTATGTGCCTGATTCATTTTACGAGAGTTATTACTGTAGATATCAGTGGACAGATTATGATGATTGCTGCTGCTCACATAAGTTAACCGATGAACCAGTCTCGTTACGACTACAGACGGCACATGTGAGGATGTCAAAAGCAGAATCGGAAAAGCAAGATAGATTTTCATTACCTTGAAGTCAGTGTGGCAATCTGCTGCACTCACCAACTGCAAGGAACAAAATACGAACTTTTAACGTTAATGTATCTAGTCAATGCTTCTGTGTGGTTCACAGACTTGGCGTGTGTGCATAACGACTGGCCACTGCAAACTCATCAGCAACTGCCTTCTCTGACTCGGTACTGAAGAGATCAGATAATCAACTGGAAAGGATAAGCAACAGGGGACTGTGACGTTGAACTAGTCAAAAACCTATTGCTCAATAAATATACTGAGGTAAATGGAGGGGGGGGAATTAGACATACTCTGCGGAGACTGTCGAGTAGCATCACGCGGAAGGGCCTCAAGTGCAAACCGAATAGGCAACGAGTGACGGGTTGGGAGTGGGTCAAAGGGTGACATGGAAGAGGCTGTGTTAGGTGGGAATGAAAGCTTTTGAACAGAGGACATAATGATGAATTGGAGATGTGCTGTTGGAGCCCCCCATGTTGGACTTGCAACCCGATAGAATAATAGTAATGATGTACTAAATCATTCATAACTTCAAAAAAGAATGACAAATATTATGATACAGTAGGTTAAAATTTATAAAAAATACTTTCATTGAAGAGAATCTGTAAAATAGCGTAGCTAATCATTTTCATTGTTTTCTTTTTTTAAAAAAAAAACACATCAATCAGGTCGGCTAGATGATATGTTAAATGTCAGTGGTCATCTTATTAGCACAGCTGAAGTGGAAAATGCTCTTCTATTGGATCCAAATGTTAGTGAAGCTGCTGTAGTCAGTCGAAAACATTCACTTAAAGGAGAATGTCTGTACTGTTTTGTTACACTGAAAGATATTGAATCCACTGGTACTTCGAATGTTTCAAGTGGTGGTCAGCTTACTCCAGAGATAAGAGAAAAGTTAGTTGATATTATCAGAAAGAGAATTGGCCCGTTTGCCGCTCCAGATTACATTCAGGTAATATAATACTTTTTGTTACTCGAACGATGTCTTTTTTTATTATTCAGAACATGTGCACTGGTTCATTTTTATATTACTTTCAAGTATTTTAGATGTTGGGAAAAACTCGAAGACTTGCAGGCGCAAATCAACAAACTGGCTGACGAAGCGGCGAAGATAGGACTGTAGGTGAACATAGAGAAGACAGAGGTGATGAAGATAACCAACCAATCAATCACCACCAACAACAACCAGCACCAATCACCTTCAACGGAAGGGGTTACTTCACTCCCTTCACTTATCCGGCCAGGAAGCACGCTTGAACCACAGTCAGTTGGATAGCACGGATGAAGATGTTTAAGGCAGCCAGCCAGCCAGAATCGGGAAAGCAACCAAGACACGCCTTCATCAATCTGAAACCAGTTTGGAAATCTTCAGCTTCACTCAGTCAGCCAGCATAAAGAACGGGATTCGGATTCTATTCGATATAATTGTGAAATCAGTCAGTCAGTTCTTCTATATGAGTCAGAATCTTGCACTACGCGCTTGTGTCATGAAAAGGGTTTCCAAGAAGTTACAGACTTTCGTCAACAGCTGCCCACTTTGCTGGCTGGTTGGCTGGCTCCATACTGAAGATCAAATGACCGGCTGGTTGGTCGGCCAGAAAGAATTATCTACACGAAACTGTGACTGGGAACAAACCAACGAAGAGTTGACTGCTCAACAAATATGTAGGATAAAATGGAGATGGATTGTGCATACTCTACTGAGGAGGCCATCGAATGACATCGCGCACAATGCAGGCCATTACTCGAGTGGAATCCCAATGGGAAGCGACGAGTGGATTGTCAGTGTGAGGGTGACATGGGGGGGATGGTGTGTATGTTAAAGGAGGAGATGAGAGATTATGGTGAATCGTGCAGCTAACCAGATGAAGAGGACAGGAGAGAATAGAAGAAAGTGGAGGTGTGTTGTTGAAGCCCTATGTTCCACTCAGAACACAAGAGAATAATAATATACTTTAGATTTTGTAAATGTTTGTGAATCACTTTTGACCTGAACTGCATATTTTGAATGATAATAATAGCTTTATTTTCTAAACAGTATTTTTGGTACAGTTATGGAATTTTCAGCATGTAGCACCGTATTGCACTTAACTTTCTCATTGCAGGGATAATAATTAAAACAGGGCGTTTACATTGATAACATTGTTCAGTAAGAAAATGAATGTTAAATTAAATTAGGTGAAAATATTAACAAGAATGTATCAATCGAAAAGGAAAACGTGGAGCCGTTTGGCATAGTTTTACTATCGTATTTGATGTGTTCAGGGCTTATAAGCACATAAGTTGATAGACAAGGCACTGGCCACAATAAGGCTCCAGCTGACAACCTGATTCCAAATAAAAGGCGTCGGAAGTCGTCTCTTAGGAGAGAGTTATCTTCTTCATCCTGTTCGTCGGTGGGACAGCGGTTAGGACGCTCACCGACCATACATATGGTTCGGGGTTCGATTCCCGTCCGACGCACACCTGATATCAATGGTCAGCCTGCTAAATTTGGGTTACCGATATCACATGGTGAAAATTCCATACTTGTACCAAAATACTTTGTGGAATCAAGGTATAATAAAATAAGCAAAATAAATAAACCCGGATAGTATCACAACTCCAAAATGAGATGTGAAACGATGACTCATTTTTACCTCCTGGTTGCCTGTCTGTTACACAGCCTTGTGAGATGTATAATTAAATTCACTATCAACACTCTTATTGTCATTCTCACGTATAATTAAACCTGTTTTATTTGTTTATTAGTATCATCAAACTTGACTATCTTTATTTCTGTCGTTATTGTACATAATTTTTGCCTATGAGTTGCTAAGTAGCCATATTTAGGAAACTATCCGTGTAGTCTTGGTGTATGACTCAAGTGGTATTTACAGCTGACTAAGGACTGGAGGTGAAGCTTCATTACTCCTTATTTTTATTTATTAAAACTGAAGCAGGTGATTGTCTTAAGGAGGTGAGGGGCGTGGGTTACTACTCCCCGAGTCCTTTGACTTGAAATCTGATCCACAAGACAATAAAGTATCATAGGGAGATACGTTCGCATGATTTCCTGTGAACAAAACAAGTTCATTCTCCATTTGATCCGTTTGGATTCCGGAGTCTATGTATACCATAGACTTGGAATGAAAGTTTTCCAAATCTCCTGCGTAGACTTCCTTCTCCACTAGTTCGGTTGTAAGCACCAGATGTCCGCACTTGCCGTTTCACTTTCTTGGCGAAACACTCGCTCCCACCCTAGTGAATAGAACTTATCTTGCAAAGGTAGGTTATGAACAGGTGGCCACATGAAAGCATTTGGAGAGGAAGACTCAAGTCTACTTAATCCTCATCCATATCAAGTCGTTTATGGAGGTATTACTCATTATTACTGTTACATCAAAAACTTCAATTAAGTTTAGAAGTAACTGACTAGAGAAGCGTATTTTTCTCATCTTCCATGCACAAATTGTTTCCAACTTGTATGCTTGATGATATACAGGTTGGACGTTTTGGCTCAGTGGAGAGTCCATAAATGTTGGCAGTCAATAGGGACTTAATTAGCATAGGTCAGGTAACATAGACCGTCTTCTGCAGCGGTGCACAGACCATATTCTACTTTGAGTCATCACCATTTTTCTGCCTGGCATCTTCCCCCCTCCAACCATCCAAGCATATAGTCATTGAGAAGTCACAATGCAATCAGCAATCAGTGCTGTGTGTGCGTTTGCATACAGGAATTCTGTTCCTGTTGACTTACTTTTGTGAACTGTAATCGTGCTTCTCTTTTAAAAAAAAATATCTTTCACAATAAATTAGCTGATGTTCAGGAAATATACCATAAAACATAAATAGTTAAATGAGTAATCAGAAGGTAATGCATAATTTTCTTCTTATTGATCTATTTTGTTTGTTTGTTTTTTCTTATGAAACTTTTTTTCCCTTTTACCTATATATATAGAGTGCACCTGTATTACCAAAGACACGTAGTGGTAAAATTATGCGACGTATACTACGTAAAATAGCTAATGAAGATTATGATTTTGGCGACACATCCACCTTACTGGATCATTCATGCTTGGATAACCTTATTAAATTCTCGAAATCGATACTTAAGTAACTCTATTACATAATCTAATTATTCTGGAGGATACATGCATATATATATGTGTATACATATATTAGCACTTAAACTGTTTATTTATTCATGGATGGATACATATTTGACTACTTATCTCCTTACTCCATTCCTAAATAAGATAACGTTTGATGATGCATTCACGTTGTTAAACTAGCTGAAACAGATTTCATTATTCTGTTATTTTAATTATCAGTGTTGGTGTGTTCTCTTGGTCTCAGTTTATATTTATATTTAAGGAATTTTTATTCAGTGTTTCCAGTTTGCTGCTTCTCACTGTCTTCTCATGATCATCAGGACTAATGTTGACTATCACACACACACACACACACACACACACCATTCACACGTGTTCTGTTTATTGCTTTTTTTTACAATCACACTTTCTGCTTCTGAATTTTTGTTATTTAGTCTTATCCTTAAATAAGTAGTATTACAGGTATTCTATCTACACTTATAAATAACTGTTTTTATCCTTCTTACAACAAATATCTGTTATCATAAAAACAGTGCCCTTCAGCGTTGTCCACTCAACCCGCGCCCCCTCTGAATCAAGCAAGAAGGTTGTGGGTGTCTTTGTGTTACTGCCTTTTTCATTCCCTCCTATATAGTAGAATAAGTGAACTACAATCTCGTGAATTCACCCCCACCCCATTAAATATTCAATTTTATTATTATAATTATTTATAATATTATCGGTGCCATTATTATTATTATTGTTATTAATATTATTATCTTTGTTGTTGTCGCCCACCCAACGTATACTTTATTTTCGACGTCTTCGAACGACAACAACAACAACAGCAGGCATTTTCTTTCATCACCAAGTTTATTACCATGTCAGTTTATGTTTTTATTCTCTCTCATCTTTTGTTTTTTTCTATCCAGTTTCTTTCAATCTCTTATATTGCTGCCTATTTTCTAGTTCAAAAAGATTATCTATCTATCTCATTGGTTGTGATCGCCGCCTCTTTTAGTTTGCACCCCACTGTTTCTTTAAAGTCAAATAGGGATATTATTGTATCCAATTTCTATATAAGTTATTTAAATAAATATAACCAAGTTACATACGTATTTAAAAATTGTTTTTTTCTCTTTTGACGAATGCTGTTCGAAAAGTATGTTCTCTTTTTCTCATTCCTCGTGTTCCGAGTGGTGGTGGTGGTGGGGGCTAGCGAGCATAGGTTTTCAGGCTTTCGAAGCACTGTTTTCCACGAAGTAAGATTGCTGGCTTTTGGCTCAACTTTCTGTCGTTCCTGGACGTAGTACTACTGTAATAACAGAAGACAAGGTCCAGGCAACAGGTCGTTTATTAAGGAAAATCAACACATATTTATAGGTTTTAATGTACATTATTATATATTATTGTTAGTAGAAAATACAGTCTTTTGATTGGTTGTTTCTCACAGAAAGTTAACCTTGCATCTCTTTGTGGCTGTGTCAGATCATCCATATGCTAACTGTATCCGCCTACGCAAAGCTTTTGTTCTCATTTTCTCACCACCAATATTGGGGACATAAACATTGACGTCAATTACTGTCTACCAACTTTGGCTAGCAGCCAGCTCTCACCACACTACTACGGCTACTACTGGTTAGTTGAGGTTTAGAGGAGTACATCGGTCGGGAATGAAAATCGCTGATGAGAATTCTGCTACTGAACCATTGATGCATAAAGTATAGATGCAGCATAATCGTGTGTAACATAACAGTCATGAACAACATTGTGTACTGAAATCCCTTTATGGTTGTTTATCATCATATGCAATCTGAAATATGCCACACGTTCACTGTGTATATTACGCTGGGTGGAGTAGGAGTATGGGCTTATAAGCACATAAGTTGATAGACAAGGCACTGGCCACAATAAGGCTCCAGCTGACAACCTGATTCCAAACAAAAGGCTTCGGAATTCGTCTCTTAGGAGAGAGCTATCTCCTTCATCCTGTTCGTCGGTGGGACAGCGGTTGGGATGCTCGCCGACCATACACATGGTCTGGGGTTCGATCCCCTATCGACGCACACCTGATATCAATGGTCGGCCTGATAAATTTGGGTTACCGATATCACATGTTGGAAATTCCATACTTGTACCAAAAATACTGTGTGGTTTCAAGCTATTATCAAAATAAAAAATTTTCAGCAATGATATGGCATAGCCTAAGTACCTGAAGCTTGAATGAGCGCCACTTGGACACAAGTAAAACCGAAGCTTTCCTGATGCATCATGCCGCGTAGGGGGACGTAAAATCCTGAAAATACAATTATATAAGCTTAACTTTGAAACCTATATATGACTATGAAGTAGCATTTACTGTCGTAGACCAGAAAGAACTCTTAAACCGTCCCAATAAATACCTGATAAAAATTTTCTAATTCATAATTTAACGTTAAATATCTAAATAACAGATAATCAATATCATTACGTGCACATAGCAACGCTACACAATATGCATCGTTGTCAGGGTGTGTTGTAAACCCGCTGCATTTTTTTTGCCGCTGAACTTAAAAAGATCCTAATGAAACCGTTACCGGTATTCAATTGATTGAAAGAAAGAACATTAGACAATCAATACTTTGCGAAACAATAGCTTACTTTCATTATTAATAACAAAGGAAGGAATGATTGCTGGATTAAATTGACAAATTGCAAGTGAATTCACGATTTGTATGTTACGCAATTTCACGACCGTTTCTTTTGGAAAAGGCAATTAATTATTTAGATCACAATATATGATCTGTTTGTTATCAGAAACGGCGATCAAGAAAGCAGCAAGCACAAATGCATGATTGTGTTTGGATGATTTGAACTGGTGAGGTTGATCTCAAACGAGCGAAATGGCCGTCCAGCGTTTAACTCACTACCATCTGGCTAGTAGGCACTACTAGCTGATGTTACTGGTATCCAGGCACTCATATGAATCAACCAACAGTATATAACATCATAAAGGAATGATTATTTACTATTGGTTACAGGTTTTATCACGAGTTGACATCTGTTAGAGAACCTGGGAGTACTGGACAGCTGTCCCGTCCTAGTTTGGAGTTCACCGACAGTACGCACTCACTGGAACTCAAACCCAAGACCTTCCAATCACAAGGGAGGCTAGTAGACCATTCGGAAACTGGGACGCGACTTAATGGCCCTTGATTCCGAACTTCTAACAATTCGTGATTTTAGTGCAACCACCGGCCAATGTCACCTGTGAGTATCTGTCCTTACCCCCCTCCACCTGGTGATCCCACTCTCCACGTCTCCTTAAGAGATCTCCAGTCAGTCACTAGTGAGCGTTGGATTGACTTTTTAGTGTTGTTCTGGGGGGATTTGATTAGCTCTTGTCGTAACATGACAGTCATGGGTTCGATCTCCGCTCCGTACTGCTCAGGATTCTCAAACTAGGATGAAACAGGTGTCCAGTACTGCCTGGTTTCCAGAGGTTCTCTAAATGATGTCATTTCCTGATTAGACTTGCAACTAATCAAATCTGTGCCAACTCACACTTCAGTATAAAGGTTTGTTTTTTCCTAAAAGGTTCTCTCCGGTTGTGCGTCGGTGGCACAGCGGTTAGGATGCTCGCCGGCCGGGGTTTACCCCCGGCCGACGCACTACTTTACCTCGCTAAGCCAGTAATAGAACTGGCAAAGAGGGGAGGTCGGGCATGAGGCTAGCAACCCCATCCTGTAAAATAAACACTGCTACAGAAACTTCAACCCTCTAGCTTGAAGCCCTATGTTCCACTGGGACCGTGAAGGAATAAAAAAAGGTTCTCTCCGATTTAATAATCTGCTTGAATGATGATTATGTCAACTAGTGGGTATTTGAATATCTCCCTATATCGTTTCCAGTCATAAATAATAATAATCGGAAAACCACTAACCATAAACAGGATGTCATCTGAGTATGTTGGCCTCGGAAAGCTGTTTTATCTCTTTATATAATAATAGTACAGAGGTCATATGGTGACATTTTGAAATATAATATAGACTAGCTGTTTAACGGTTCTCATAAAATATCATTCCTAAAATAATTAAGTTTCAAGATGAGAGATATAACTCTCATCTACTGACCACTGTCTTTGTGATGGCTATTCTTGAGGCTACCTAACTTCAAAAACAATTTAAACACTGTAAACCTCATATGGTTAATAACGTTGATAAATTGCTAAATTTCAGGATGTACATGTATTCGATTTGAAGCTTGAATTTTTAGCATCACATTTTATTCTGTCTTTACTGTCATGATAACTTTCTGACTGACTGAGGAGTTTCAACGTAGAACTTTGCAGAGGAGTACCACAGTTCAAGTTGTCACACTGCATGTAGTACACAAAAGTTGAGAAAAGAGAAATTCAAAAGAACGAGAATGAGCAGAAATGCGCAGGAATATGAATAGTAACATGGAAAAACATCAGGGTTTAATGGAGTGAATGCGTCTGCTACATTAGGGAGGGTTTTGAACCATATTACTAATAGTCTCCAGGTATTAGTTCTTAACATACTGAGGTCCCCAACCAGGTAGTCTACACCTTCCTACGTAACTCAAACCAACTTTCAAGTATTGGTTTTGTAGGGGTTGTGTTTGATTGGTTGGAGGGTCTCATCATGAGCTGACATCAGTTAGAGAACCATTGGAAAACCTGGGTGTCTCGTCAGCGTAGTTTGGGACTCTCCAGCAGTACGCACCCACACTGCCGGAGTCGAAACGGGGGGCTGCTGGTTACAAGGCTAGCGAACTCGTAGACCATTAAGCCAGATCATGAATTCTAACTTCCGAGAGTGGTCCCATTCAGACAGTTACCTGGGGTTCTAGTGGGAAGCCATGACCACTAGGGTACAAAAGGTTGAAGGTGGAGCAGTAACTCATCGAAGAAGATATTGTGAAGTGGTCGTGCTATGTCACGAATTGGCAGAAGTTAGAATTCATGGTCTGGCCATTGGATCTGGTCTCAGTGGATTAATGGTCTACGAGCTCGCTGGCCTTGTAACCAGAAGGTCCTGGGTTCGAACATTGGTGGTGGGTGCGTACTGATGAAGGTTCCCAAACCGGACTGACGAGACAGCTGTCCATTACATCTAGGTTTTCCAATAGTTCTGTAACTGATGTCAGCTCATGATGAAACCCTCCAACCAACCGTTAAAGACTAAATGGATTGATTCCAGGTTTTAGTCTGACCACCCGTAACTCTGTTCCGACCTTATGGTATGTCAGCTAATATTATTCGTCGAGGAAGATGGTGGCTCGACATGCGTTGAGGAAGATAAAGTACATAATAAGTTTTCTTTAAATTAGGAACATTCAATTTTCAGAAGTGTTTTTAAAAATATATTATTTTGATGATGCCTATTAAGAAATCTAAAAACTGTCTCATTTCCTCTTTGAAGAATTCGGTAACTCCGTGGTTATTATCATTACTACCGCTATTCTTATTAACGATTTCAATGCATTCTATCTAAATTCGTTCTCATTCGAATATATATGAAGTCTCAGAATCCAATCAGATTCTCTTTTCACCTTGATAGCTATCTCTGTCTCTCTCTTTGTTAGTGGATTTTATTTACTTTTATGTTTGCTGTCAGTAAAATTCTTTTTCTGTCTTTCAATCATATCTGATTGGATGATGGATTGGAAGTATTCGTTCTCTACTTGACAAATAATTATCTTCCTACTTTTCTTTGCCCTACTTTCATTTGAATATACACTTACTCTTTTTTCTAAAAAAAAGATTATTACTGTTAATACTTGTTGTGGTTGTTTGAAAAGGAAGTCTTTGTAAAATATCAGCTCAATTTTATGCGTAGATAATTAATTCTAAGGGAATGGAAGAACTGTAGCTCTTTAGTGCTTGTACTCAACATTCAATCAATGGGTCATAGGTTCGAACCCTGTGGATCTGAGGAACAAACGAGTAGTCAGTGAATTGTATTTAATTCGTCATTTCTTCAACTTTACTCAATTTGTAATGGTGAGAATGATCGTGTCACCATCTTTAAAGGCTTTCGGTTGATGAAATCCAGATGACTCATGATGTAAAGTCAATCTTTTGAAAGATTATTGTACCTGTTCATAAGGTGAAGTGAGTG